ACGATGTGTGCGAGCTTGGGCTGGCGGCGACCAGGTGGCGGTGCTAATGATGTTGTGTTATTGAAGGACCTGACTGTCGCTACTGCCACGCAGCTGCAAAGCCTCCGTGCGTTAGAAGCAATTGCTCCCCGTCATACATCTTTTGTTGCTAGTGTTAGAGCCTTGGATGGGTTGCCGGCCGTGGCACAGTTGCCACCGGTGCGACTGGTTTTGTCACGGTGGTGTTGTGTGCGGGTGGCTAACGTGTACAAAGAGTCTGCATGGCGCCTGGCCCTGAATGCATTCCCTACTGCTCAGCGTATGCAGACTGCCACGGGATGCGCGGCGTGCTCTGCTGCTGTGCCGGGTGTGGAGCACCATTTCTGGACGTGTCCTGTTGCAGTTGCTGTGCGTGAAGAGGTTGAAGGTCAGCTAAGAGCATTCAACATGTTGCCGGCAGGTGAGAGCCTGCCGTGTCGTGCGGTGTAACTGGCTTGCTCCCCTCATCACAATGTGCACCGACTGGTGTGGGATATGGTCTGCCTGGCATCTATACATGCGTTGGAAAAAGGCCGCAGAGCGGCCTGGGCTGTGGCAAGTGATCTTGTGGTGCCTGTGCTGGTGGAGCAGGTGGCGGTACGTGCGGCACTTGGTGCTTTTTGGGATGCGCTTGCTAATTTTGCCGCTACGGCCAGAGTGCCGCGGCGGTACAAGAACCAGCTGTTGACCCGGCAGCCGTTTATCTCCTGGCACACTGTGTTGCGGGGTAATGGTCTGCGTGTGGTACGGCGGTGATAGCCACCATTCTGCATGTATTTATGCCCGTTTGCTTTCTGTCAAGCCTGAGACTGGTGGTCCTGCGCTGCAGGAGCTGCACGGTTTGTGGTGCGGCTGCTGCAATATGCAGTTGCATTGCCCCTGCAGCACAGTCCAGGTACTCTGCTCCTTCCCCCCTTGTTTGCTACCTTGGACCAGGGTATTGACCTTTACTTGCCAACTTTGTCCCGTTGAGTTCAGCCCGCCCGCTGTACTGCACAAGTATGGGCTGCTGTCACCGACACTGTTTTAGGTTAGTCATGCTGCTTGTCCCAATAGAATTCTACACTGCGTGTTGTGAGTCCGACGGTTCTGCCTGCAGAGCCACGTGTCGTGTCTCGCACACAGAGGCTTTCTTGGGGTGGGCCTCTTTTGGGTGACAGTCTGTTTTCCCGCTGAACTTCTAGCAGCTCTCTTTGTTTTTGGGTGTTTGTTGCGACGTAGGCGCCTGTGCACACCATGTACCCCCTCTTCTTCTTTTGCGCGTCCGGCGGGACGTTAGTGGTTAGAGACTTGAGAGCCCAGCCTGCTCGCAGTGCCGGAAGTGCATGGCGGCCCTGTGCACTTTTAGCACTGCATGCCGTCACTGACACTGTTGGCAGCACTTGATTTCCATTGACACCAATTCTCCTCTGGAGGTACACTCGTGGGGGCAATACTGCGTGGAGTAAGGAAGGCGGCTGTGCATGCATGGCCAAATGCCGAAACTTACACACTGAGGCTTTTCTAGGGGTGGAATTTTTGATTTTGAGGGGTTACACGGTGTGCTCAAGCGGCTACGCCACAACGGACACCTGGAATAAAAGGAAGTTGCGTGCAGCTCAACGCAGGCTGTCACTCAAGGAGGCTCAACCCCCAGGAAAGCCTCTGTGTGTGGGGCCTGACATCAGCCGTGCTCAGCACGACCCGTCGTCCCCGTCACACGCAAATGTTGTTTGCTTGGAAGTATATGAGCATGCAAGCAGTAGTCTAAGCAGTGTCAGTGACAGCAATCTATACATGTTGTAGTACAGGAAGCGGGCTAAGCTGATGAGCATGATGCTGACTCAACGGCAGATCAGACTCAAGGCAGCAGTGAGGAAAGAAACGGCTGAAAGCTGGCCAGCTGCAGAGGGTTTGTCATGGCTGCATATCAACAGGCATGCAGTGACCCCACATACACCCACTTTAGAGTGGGGCTGGTGGCTTCCAAGGGATAGGCGGGGAGAACGCAGCAACACACATATGCATGCCCGTGCAAATCACCTGCGGGCTACACGTAAGCCATTGCCGCGCAGCACAGTGTGCCACGCAAGGAACGGCTGCCGCGTAAGCAGCTGAACTCTGTGACGACCAGGCACCCTAGCTGTAGCAGCAAAGTCAGCAAGCGCATCCCAAAGGCCGCCAACTGCCGCTCGTACCGCCACTTGCTCAACAAGTACAGGTACACCAAGCTGACAAGAGACCGCCCAGGCTACCCTGCGGCCATGTTCGCATGCATGTATCGCTGCCAAACATACCATGTCCCATACATTACATTACATTACATTACATGCTCCACCCAACAAGGAGTGGGAACCCCATTCAGGAGCCAACGAGAGGCTCATTGGGGTACAAGGCGGTGCACATCACGTTGATGGGCACATGCCAACCACAAAGCCCTGCAGGGCAGGTTTTCACCCGCCGTGAGCAGATTGTAAGCTCTAAGTTGACGCTCCACCTCTTCTCGCACGGCAACAGCTACCGGATATAGCCAGAAATGATGCTCCACACCTGGCGCAGCAGCTGAGCAAGCTGCACACCCAGTAGTCAGCTGCATACGCTGCGCAGTGGGGAAGGTGTACAAAGGCAATCTAAAGTCAGGCGCCAGGCTGCTTCTTTGTAGGTGTTAGCCACTCTAACGCCCCACCAGCGGGATAACACCAGTTGCACAACAGGCAGCTGGGCCCCGGCAGGAGTGCCATCCAACATTCTAACACTGTTCAGAAAAGCAGCATGACGGGAGCAATAGCATCAAGCGCAGAGCGACGTTGAAGCTTACTGGCAGTGGCAACGGTGAGGTCGGCCAGTCAAATGACATTTTCTGCACTGCCGCCCGGTCGCTGCCAGCCTAAATCAGCACACAACGTTTCACGCGCCAAAAGGAGGTCATCAGGGGTGACAATAGAAAGTTGTGCTGCGCTGTCACCAGCAGCATAAGCTGCTGCTAGGTGAGCACGCGCAGCTGCAAGCCACACTTGGGGAACCAGAGCTAGCAAGGCTTGCAGATGCTGATGGGCTAGCTGCCTATCAGCATATTGCGGCTTGTTGCACAACCAAGGGCCCCAGATGTCACGCTGGTATGCTGCGCGCTGAGCTAACAGCCCAGGCAAGGCACATACTCTGTCCAGCTCAGAAGAGATCACCACAGCCTGGCCGAGAGACTGCAGCTTGGGCAGCTGCAGTAGCCCGGATGCAACCACTTGTTCCAGGCCAACAACAACCCTGCGTTGCTGACCAAACCACTGTAGCACCAAGCATTACTGGGCACTCTCGAACACAAGGGAAAACTTGTCGGCATGCTCCTTCAATCCGTATTAAGCCCAGCACCACTCCTCGACTGGGCTCCTGTCGCGAACCTAAACCCTAGTGGGCAAGTCCAACGCCAGGATCGGAACCGCATGCCAGGGCCTTCGGCCCTGTCTGAGACTGAACTGGGGTTTGCCTAACCGTATAGGCGTCGCCTGACACGGTGTTGGCCTGGACTGAGACTGTCGTTCCCTTGCTGCCTGTTACAACCACTCCCAGTCCTGTGGTGCAGTAAAAATGGGGTTGGCCCACAGCGGCGCGTGCTAACACAGCTCTTCAGCATCCAATGCTTCTGTGCCAACGTGGCGGAGTGGCGGCAGAGCCCGCATCCCCAGTGCCAACGGATGCAAAGCTGTCGGCAAACGCTCATCTGCATAGGCAGACGGAAACAGATGTTCACGGCCACACAGCAACAGCCCCCAAGGGCTGCTGCTGGCACCACGCGTGCATGGTTCTGTTGCAGCGGCCCAACGGGGCCACAGCTCCCGTGCCACCGCCACCCAAGGAGCAGTGCCGCCTTGCATCTAAGGCAGCGCTTCACAAGCCCACCGCGGCAACAGGTGGTGGTGGACTGGCATCAATCCAAAACCCCCACACTTCAGGTGTGCTGCCATGCAGTCACCTGGGATACCAGGGGCCCGTCTTAGGTCATCACCCGGGCCCAAACCAGCATAAACCAGCGCTGCTGACCACTTACTAAGCTTGTCCGTCACGTTAGAAGGCAGGTGGCCAGCAAACTGGGCCGCTTATAACAATGTTGACAAAGCGTAAGCATTTGTAGCAAGTGCCCGACCAAAAGCTGACAGTTTGGAGATGCGGCTGATGTTCTGCATGCGGTGTCGCACAATCTCTAAACTGCCACCCCAATCTACACTGCTCTTGCCACATTGATCAAAACACACACCCAAGGATCTTGCTTTCGCAACGACTTGCATAGCCCCCAAGCCGTGTGCAGCCTCACCTGGCTCAGCAGTCCGAGTCGGCTGCTGTCCTGTGTGCAGCAAACGTGTCTTGGTGGGGTTCAAACACTGGCCAGAGGCTTTTGCAAAGTCAGACATGCATGAGAGAAATTGGGAACATCGTGCATCGACAGCAAAAAACACTTCAGCGTCGTCAGCGTACTGCACAGCTGCAAGCTGCTGACTTGCTGCCATGATACCAATGCCCCGCTGCTTGAGGAAGCATAGTAGCGCTTGCCCCACAAATAAGTACAACAGGGGGGCCAAGGGGCAGCCTTGGCGCACCCCAGCATCACAACGGTAAACCGGGCTGCAAAATCCGTTCACCGTAGCACAGGTATGTGTATCAGACAGCAGCACACGCATCCATCCTACAAACCCGTCACCTATGCCAAGTGCTGCTGCCACATCATACAACAAAGATCTATCCACAGTGTCATATGCCTTGGCAAAATCCGTGAAAACAACCACTGCCATTTGCTGCTGTTCATGCATCAGTGCAGGTAGCAACTGCAACAGCCTGATGCTATCCCCTATGTGCCGATGTTGTAAGAATGCAGACTGCGCTGGATGCACAACCTCCCCAGCAGCTTTTTCTAGGGGTGGGCCTCCTTTCGAGTGACGGCCCGCGCTGAGCTTTTAGCAATCTTTTCAACTCTGATGCCCGTTGCGGCGTAGCTGCTTGAACGCACCTTGTAACCCTTTCTTCTTCAGTGGTTAGAGAGTCTGGCTCCTAATCTCGAGGTCTCGGGTTCGAGCCTCGCTGAAGTCGAAAGCGCTCAAAAATACTCGAGCGGCTCATTGGTGCGGCCCACCCACGTTGTCGCCCAATCGAGTGGTAGGGGGGTTTCGGTGGTTAACCCCCTACCCGGAGAGGAGAGGAGTCTGGGTAGACCATTCAAAGGTCGTGTACTACGCACTACAGTGCTTGAAATCCCGGACCCGCACACCTTACCCTTGGCGCTGGTCCAGAGGAGTCCCATGCGCTGGTCACATGTGGCTGGCCCAGAGGAGTCCCATGCGCTGCCATCACCACGGCAGATGCTAAAACATGGTCCTCGGCATGGACATTAAACTGCCTAGCTTGCTTTGCCCTCTGGGTCAGCCGGATGCGGCCCGCGAGTCGGAAGACTGTCTGGCGCAGCTTCTTCTAATGCTGGAAGGTTCGTTGGATATGAGGAGTTGCGTCCTGCAGGCCGATACTGCCTGTCTACGCAGCTACGCCGGGTCCCGAAGAGACAACGCAGTTGGCAGCCGTGCAGCGCGCATTGGATGCCCAGACAGTCGGCTACAGCTTCAGGAAGACGTGCTCAGCAATAGTTTAATATTTTGAGCGCTCGCTGGTACCCAAGCCGGCTCATGCAACCGCCGCGTGGTGGGCGGAGTGTGCTCACATGCATGTGGCGTGTCGTGTATTTGGCGGCCTTCAATGCTATGGATGTTGGCAGGAGGGCAGCCAACCTACAGCATGTGCTAAACAGGCAGCATGACCTGGTTGGCAGTCCAGCAGGTGGCCCTGCCCGGGCGCCACCTGCTGACCAGCAGCTGATCACTCAGTTGTTGCAGCCTGCTACTCCCTCAGCTGCGCAACTGGCTCATAATGAGGCAGTGAGGCAGCACAGAGAGCAGCAGCAGCCACAGCTTCAGCAACGGCGACAGCAGGAGCTTGATGAGCTGATGCAGACGAAGAAGAAGGCGGCGGTGGCTAGGTTTTGGGAGCTGCTGGTTGACTTCATAGTCATCAAGGCGGCACCCTTGACCTGGATGGATATTGTGCCAGCTGATCACCCCTTTTTACGCGTGGTTGACGGCCGGCTGCAGCTAGCACCAAGAAGGGACTTGGCCTCTGCGTCATAGCGTGAATTGGGGTTATTTCTTGCATCCTCTGCTCTTTTATCGGTTTTGCTACATGTGGTTGCATGTCTTGTGCTGTTAGTACTCTCATGCAGCCTGTGTCAGCCAGTAGGTGTTTTGGGCCGGTGCCATTGCCTGGGGTGTGGCCTTGCCAGACACATCAGTAGGGTGGCAGGTACCTGTGGTGCCACGGCGCTGCAGGTTATGCAGTTGCTTTGTGTGCGTCCTAGTAGCAGAGAGTTTTGATCATGTTGATCATCATGTTGTCCAACGTCTTCAACACCTGAAGCAGGAGCACCGAGGTGCCCAGTACCTGCTAGTTGTTGCCATGTCTGCATGTTCCATTCCTATTTCGCTGACGTTGACACCTTTTCTTCCGTCCTGGTGCTTTTTCTCTGCGCAGAGTTTGTGTTATTTTGGGTGAGGAAGCTGCAAATCGCTTCTCTGAGGCTTTTTGTGGTTTATTCTCGTGTCCTGCGCGCTGCAGTCCTCGAGTGTTCCGTTTCCGACGTGCACACCATGTAACGCTCCTCAATCAGCGCGGCAATTTCAGCAGCAGCGGCAGCAGGAGCTTGATGGGCTGATGCAGATGAAGAAGAAGGAGGCGGCGGCTGGATTTTTGAGTAGATGGTTGACTTTATAGTCATCAAGGCGGCACCCTTGGCCTGGCTGGATACTGTGCCAGCTGATCAGCCCCTGGAACGGCCAGTTGCAGCTGGCACCAAGAAGGGACTTGGCCGCAGACTGCACTAGTGCTGACCGCCAGCGCTGGTGTAACTGGGCACTGCATGATGGCAGCAGCCCTGCGTGTTGCTGCTGCTGGGTGTGGGTTCTGCCTGCCTATACGATGCACACCAGCAGCAACGGAATACAGATTGTGTTTCGATTGGAACGCTATGAGTGGCATGTTGCACTTGGTCGGCTGGTGTGCGAGGTGCTGCAAAACCCATGCACCGACCAAAAGCAAGGCATCCGCACGGAGTAGCACAGAATAACTGCGCAAACAATAGCCAAAAACACACGTGGAGCGCAGCTCGTTCTGTGTGGCAGAAAGTGCCGCACGTTTCTGCTGCGGTAGAAACCGCCGGCCATAACAGCGTGCATGGCTGCATGCAGGCTCCACACTAGGTTGCTCTTATGGCCTGTATCTAACGCATGCGTACGTAAGGGCAGGAGCAGCAGCCTCCGAGGCTGCGCCGCAGGTGTGCCGTGCAGGTGGTTTCTGTTTGACTCCTGCAGTCAGCCAGCCACGATGCTTGAAATCGTGTGCGAGTGGTTTCCGCTTACTAGTACCAGGCCTGACATGCATTGCAGCAAGGCGTTGCTCTGTGCATGGTTTTCGTTGTGAAGCACTGGCCTGCCGCACGACAACCTTAAAGTGCCGCAGCTGTTACTGCAACACGCATACTGTACATACGAATGATATTGAGGAAACCATGTCGACTTAGCATTGCCAGCAATGCAGAGTCGCTCCTGGAACAACAGCCACTGCTGAACAGTGGCATGCTACTGCTCGAGCTCTTGCTACGTCGCTACGCAGTATACTGCTGATGCTGCAGACAGCAGTGGTGCTCAGGATCTGCCCCGGCTGGTTGTGGAACCTACAGCGGCTACTCAGTGGTAGCACGCTCGCACTACCTGTGACTTCAGCCCAGCAGGGCTCATAACCACCAGTTGGCGTTGTTCACCATCCCTCGTTACGGCTTAATATCCTTACAAGGAACAGACGGTGTCACACGATGCAACACGGCAGCAGAGTACTGCCGCCCGACACAACCCTCGCCATACGAATGAGGACACAACCAGTGTACACTGGTTGTGTCCTCAAACATTGTCAGCTGTAGATGTACAACTGACAACGTCTGCCCACAAGCCTACGTGAAAAGGAACAGCCACTCACCAGTTGGCTGGCGGCCAGCACAACTCTAGGCTATGCAAGCAAACCAGATGTAGCATTGCTTGTGTGCTGTCACTGCTTCCAATTGCAAGCTCAACAGCCAACTTGTGCAGCACCTGCGCAATAGGCATATCCCAAATCCCAGCTGTAAACGAAATCACTTCCCACAATGAGCGTACAATTATCAGTGACAACACATGGGTGCTGCTCAACGTGAGAACCAGCAACACATCCCTGCAACCAACCATGTGAGTGGCTGCTCATCATGCTTCGAAAAGAACATCCCACTGCTGCCCAGCAAGAAATGCAAAACATATTTTTTGGTGCAGAAGTGACATTGGTGCAGTGCAGGCGCCCCATGTTGGCCTAGCTAGACACATGACATGCCGCAAAGCCAACACGGCTATGCAACTGCACTGTAGCCTACTGCCCCCAACCTGCGAATGCAATAGGTGTGCGTACCTACCAGCTGGCAATCTGTGACACGCGCCCTACACGCATGTGCGGACATACAGACCACAGGGAGCCTAGCCCACCGTCTCGCTATCTTGTACACAGAAGCACACTCCCTCACTCGTCCACCCATCTGGCACCTTGACTACTGCGCTGGACAAAATGTCCTGCTATACAAATGAATGACCTCACCGCCCCTTGGTTGGCACGCAATAGCGCTGCAACCTGCAGCTAAGTGACACCTGCAAGCGACAGTTCTGCAGAACGCCACAGTCAGCAGCCAGACACCCCTGACATCCTGTCACCTAGGCTGCAGCCACAAGCAGCATTTGAGGCCAAGAATGCTGCGGTGATGCTGGATTGCAGAGCTATTGTAGCCTAAGCAACCCCAACACAATGCCAAAGACAGCCTCCACAGCGATACTACTGCATATATTGCATGCCGCCCAGCCGTCAGATGAGTGCAGTTGAACCACAGGCGGCACAGAGGTGCAGCTGCTGTGTGCGTGCAACAGCATAGGGCAGCATGTACACAACTGCAGCACATGCTTGAAGTACACTGATTTTGCATGTCCACCAGCTCATACAAGAGCACCACAAAACCTAAATGCACCTGCTACTGCTTGCTGCTAAATGTCATGCGCTGGTGCACTAACACAGTGCCACAAACACAAGCAATTAGTATACAGCAACGGAGAACCTACACACAGTGCAGTGCAAAGCGCGGCACAAATCAGGGCATGCGTTCAGATAGCAACTACTGAAGCACCGCGTCGCCGCCGTATGGACCCAACCCCATAGCGCAGGCTTCATGTGGCCCCTGTGCTCCACCAACCAACCTCAGCCTGGCAGGCAGCTTGCTCCCACCTCCCCCCTCCCCGTACGGCACGCACCAGGAACAAGGGCTGCACGGCTGAGCTTCACCCTACGCCAAGTGGTCGACTGGCCAAACCATGCTGGGGTTTTGCCTTCGGGTGACCAGAGCTGTGCCTACCCCACTGCTACCCCTTTCCCCACCCTCCTTGTCTAACTGCCAGCGGCAAGCTTGCCTGCAGGCGCAACTGCCGCCGCCGCCCCCGCACTCAGCGGCCTGCTGCTGCTGCTGCGCTGCCGCTGCGCCGCCGCCAGGTTCCCTCCAACACCCGCGGCTCCCAGCTTGGCCAGCAGCTCGCCACCAGCCACGCGCCCCAGGCTGCTGCTGCCGGAAGGCGAAGGCATGGAGCCTGACGAGCCCGCGACACCGCCCGCCGCGATGGCAATGGGATGCGCGTGTGCGCCGTGGTGGGTGCCGAGGCTGCTGGTGCGCAGGCTGCCCCAGGACTGTCTGCTGAGCTCGCCGCTGTTGGCCCTGCTGCTGGAGCGGCTGTAGGACACCCAGTTCCTGCAAGCCAAGCAGCAAACACAGGGCAACTCCAGCAGCGTGAGTGCAGGGACGCGCTGCGCTGCAGGCACATGCAGAACCAAAACCGCAAGTCGGCATCGCACAGCAAAGGATTTTACATGGCAAGCTGAGGCACCCGTGAGTCCTGCGATGCCGCCCGCAACACTCACTCTGGCGGCAGCTCGCT